CGGCTCGTTTACATTTCGAGCTTAAAAATTTGTTTGTGTTCAGCTCGTTAGGCTTAACGAACGAGCCGAACACGAGCTGCTTAACGAGCCGAACACGAACTGTTCACAAACAACGAGCCAAATTGACAGCCCTATACATGAATCCCGAGGGATCTTAAATCTATCATTTTTATCGTTTTCTAATATTGGCATCATAATTAATATTATCATAGTAATATCTTGTATGAACAAGAGTTCCTTAAAACATGTATTTTTACAAACTTTTTTTTTCAACATATTTCACTTCTCATCATGTCATGGGTGAGTTATGTCAAGTATAGGTCGTGAGATTAGTTGATCTTCTTGGGTGGGTTGATCTCATGGAAAATCCACCGACTCGGCTGTAGAATGAGTTAGACTTCCTAGGCGAGATGTCGAGCTATTTTAGTCTTATTGGATACTTGTGTGTTGATCACTATATGTGAGCAATTGGGCATAACTCTTTGATTGAGTCAATCGATTGAACAGTTCTAGCTAAACTTTATAGTTGGATCAACGGGCTTTTTAGCTTTTCAACTTGAATTTGATCGAGAGTTTTTTAGCTATACAATTTGAGTATTTTAATATTTTTAAGAATCTTTTGATCGGGTAAAAGAAAATAGACGATTTTTTAGTTAATTTCAAATTAAATGAAACAAATGTAACACCTTGCAATGGAGATTTTGGATACTGGTTGATGACCGCAAGTGATGAATAACTAAGTGAAAATAGGGCGACAACTAGTAGTGGTGGTGGTTGGCGGTGGTTGTCAATGGTGGCACATGACAATGACGAGAGACAATGTTGATGATGTTTGGCAGCAACAACGATAACAACATTTGTGGCCAACAATGAGCAACATCGATTAGTGGATATATGTTTTGGTAATGGGAGGGACTTGTAGTGTATTCAAAAGTCTGCTAAATCAGCCACTTGATAAATTTGAAAGTTCTTTGAATAATAAAGTAGATTGCTTAGTGTGTGTGATGAGTGGATTAGATTAATAAATAAATTGCAAGATCAAAATTTTTCCTCTTCTTCTTCCCTTTTCCCTCTCGCAGATTCGCTTTAGTAGGTCACATAATTTTTTTTTTCCTTTCTTGTTGTAGCCTTCCATTATGAAGACTCGTGCAATTTGTCGTGATATTCCTTTTCTTTTTTTTTATGTTGTGTTTGTTGTTGATCTGCCTCTTTGCTCTATTAAAAGAGTCGAAGGTTACAACATCGACACCTCATAGTCAAACTCCCCTACACAGACCACCGAAACTTCTATCATTTTCCTCCTTCTCTAAACCCTTGCGATACAATCGTGATTAGAGCTTGTCGAGAAGGGAACGACAAGATCGTGGCATACAAAGACCATAAAAAATCCTATCACTCTCCTCCTTCGAATCCTTGCGAAACAGTCGCAATTAGAGCTAGTCGTGAAGGCAACGAGGTGACCGTGGTGTATAGAAACAATCAAAACTCTTGTCTTTCTCCTCTTTCCAACAAATTTATTACTCTGTGCTTCTTACCACCACAGTGTAGATCCAAGGTAATCTTTCTCCTCCTTGATTTCTACTTTTATTACATCTTATTTTAATTCAATCTTATTAATTGTTTGAACTTAAGTCTTTAGCATTTATGAATTTGAAAGTTATTAATTAATCATTAATTACTCATCTTAGTCTATGTCGAAGTAAGCCAAAAATCAATATTATTGTCAAACGTTTATCAAATTTGGTTATATTAAAACAACAACTAAACTAGCTAGTCTCAAATTAATTTGTTAATAAGTAACTTTATAGTCTTATTAATGTATTTATAATTTGTTGGAAATTCATTCGTGTAGGAATTTCGAGAAATTTGTCACACGCTATTAATTGAACTTCTAATAAATTTAAAATCTAACATCCTATGATTCGAGGTAAGTAACTGCTCTTTGTTAAGAGATAAATATATGATTCATTTTTTAGGGGCATTATCCTCGTTATTTTTATTAAATTCTTAGCTAATTATAAGTTCTTCCGTTTTACCACCAAAATTTAGTTAATATAATCGCAATAAATTTTATTTATTATGCAGAATGAATTTGCACAAATAATTAGTCTTGCTTTATTGTTACTTAAACTTCTATTAAATTTGTCTTATGTTTCAAGTATTTATTATTTTTTAATAATTTGATGTGACAGTTTCATAATTATTTATAAATACTGGTCGACATGCTTTAGTTTTAATCACCAGTTTTGATTATGATACATGAAATATATATGATATTATAATATTATTATGTCGGTGTTAAACTCTTTTATAATGACTAGCTGGAGCGACATGTCCGTAGGGAATTAGTAGATTTTCATGAGAATGGTGACTACTTTTATCTTATTTCAGGGTGTCATAAAATATCAACTACGTAAATGTTATTATGTGTGTGTGTGTGTCATGGAGTGCTAAAAGTATGTGTGTTCAAGTCACTCATATTTATAATCATAAACATTTGATATTCTTTGTAACTTTATATATATAT